TGAGCAGATAATATTGCCCGAAACACTTCAGAATTCATCCTGCTGCTTTTGTCAGCAGTCACATCATCAATAAATAAAAGAGAACCAGTTCCATTGGCAGCCATACATGCCCACGCCATGACACTACCACCACCATGCTTCACTGATGAGGTGGTATGCTTAGGATCATGAGCAGTTCCTTTCCTTCTCCATACTCTTCTCTTCCCATCACTCTGGTACAAGTTGATCTTGGTCTCATCTGTCCATAGGATGTTGTTCCAGAACTGTGAAGGCTTTTTTAGATGTTGTTTGGCAAACTCTAATCTGGCCTTCCTGTTTTTGAGGCTCACCAATGGTTTACATCTTGTGGTGAACCCTCTGTATTCACTTTGGTGAAGTCTTCTCTTGATTGTTGACTTTGACACACATACACCTACCTCCTGGAGAGTGTTCTTGATCTGGCCAACTGTTGTGAAGGGAAAGAATTCTTCGGTCATCCACCACAGTTGTTTTGCGTGGTCTTCCGGGTCTTTTGGTGTTGCTGAGCTCACCGGTGCGTTCCTTCTTTTTAAGAATGTTCCAAACAATTGTTTTGGCCATGCCTAATGTTTTTGCTATCTCTTTGATGGGTTTGTTTTGTTTTTTCAGCCTAATGATGGCTTGCTTCAATGATAGTGGCAGCTCTTTGGATCTCATCTTGAGAGTTGACAGCAACAGATTCCAATTACAAATAGCACACTTGAAATGAACTCTGGACCTTTTATCTGCTCGTTGTAATTGGGATAATGAGGGAATAACACACACCTGGCCATGGAACAGCTGAGAAGCCAATTGTCCCATTACTTTTGGTCCCTTAACAAGTGGGAGGCACATGTGCAAACTGTTGTAATTCCTACACTGTTCACCTGATTTGGATGTAAATACCCTCAAATTAAAGCTGACAGTCTGCAGTTAAAGCACATCTTGTTCATTTCATTTCAAATCCATTGTGGTAGTGTATAGAGCCAAAAATGTTAGAATTGTGTCGATGTCCCAATATTTATGGACCTAACTGTATGTCTGTGGGACTTTCCAGATACCTGATGAACAAGCCTACTCTGGGGAAAAATTGATTGGTCATGGATTTTCTTGGTCAGTTGTTAGAAAGTGTTACTTTAAGGGCTCATGTACACGTGGCGTTTGGAAAACTCTTCTGAGTGCTGAAAACAGACTGCTAGAAAACGTAGGTTAAAAACGTCAGTTTAGCTGAGTTTACCTACCGCGTTTACGTCCGTTTAGGCACGTTTGCGTTTAGAAGCGTTTTTAAAAGATAACCTCAGGAGACCCTCCTAAATGTCCAGAATGCACTGAAAAAATAATTAACTGTCATATATTTTTTTTGAGAGAAATAGAGAGAGCAGAAGCAGAGAGAGCAGTATGTGTTGAGATTACCTGTCTTTTCTGGTTGTATTCACTATGGATCCCATCATGAGCATAATGCTGGCTGGCCATACACTAGTAGATTTTTGTACAAAAATTCTCAGTACATTTGATGGCTTGATGATCACTTTTCAAAAGTTTTCTAAAGATTCTAAAGGTTTTTTTTTTCTTTTAAGAAAAAATAACAAACATGTCTATACTTACCTGCTGTGTGGAGTGCTTTTCCACAGAGCAGCCTGGATCCTCCTCTTTTCCCGCAGGCTCTCCTGGCCCCTTTTCCTGTTGGGTGCCTCCACAGCAAACAGCTTACTATGGGGACACCCACTGCTCCATGTGTCCATCCACACACAGAGCTGCGACTCGCCCCCGCCCCCTCTCTCTTCTCATTAGCTCACTAGCTGTGATTGACAGCAATGGCTTCCGCTTCTGTCTCAGCCAATGAGAAGGGGAAGTTCCGGGATAGCCGAGGCTCCAGTGCACATCGCTGGATTGAGAGGGGGCTTAGGTGAGTATTAGAGGGGGCTGGGGGGGATGCTGCACAGAGAAGGTTTTTTACCTTCATGTAAAAAACCTTGAACCTTTTAACCACTTCAATTCAGGGAATGTTTTGCCTTTATAACCACTGTTAGGCCTCATGCACGAGTTAAAAATGGCCTTTTTGGCTTATGATATTGTTTTATGCCTTTAAATGCGCCTTCATCTTACCCTATGTGTCCATGCATACACGGGCGTTTACAGGAGTTTAGAGGCAGAAAAAAAACACCACTTGTACGTTCTGAAGAGGACTGTTTGGGCTGAAAAAAAGTGCATTAACACAAGTGTTTATGCGCTGTTGGACGTTAATGCATTCTAATGGCCAGAATAAATTAATATTCTGCCCAACAGAATGTTTAATCACCAAATATGAGCATAAATTCACGGGAATGTGCATGCAAAAACATGGCTTTTGCTGCATTTTGTGTTGATTTTCTCCTGTAAGGAGAAAAGCTGTCTAAATACATACAGTGTGCATATAGCCTAATGCAGAGGAGACATAGTGGGGTTGATTTACTAAGGCTCCAATCACTTCTAGGCATTTTGTATTGCGAACAGAATGGCCGCAATTCTGCCTCTGATCCCAAAATGCTACGCAAAAATGCAGCATGCTTGTTCAGGTGCCATTCATTTTAATAGCACCTAAATGCAGGTGCGATTCTGCTCTGATTGTCATGCAAGAAATCGCAGGAGCTTCTTTTGGGAAGACAAGCTTTGCGCAATGCGGTTTGCATAACTTCAGCGCAATTTATCATGCAACAATCGCAGCAGAATCTCACTGCGTTTTAGGTGCCATTGAAAATGAATGGCACCTGAACAAGAATAGTGCGATTTGTCAGTTTTGCAGAGCATTTTGGGATTGGGAGCAGAATTGCCATACAAAATGAATGGGAAGGGAAGTTGCACTTTGCAAGAGAATCTTTCCCAGAGCTTAGGAATCGTAGTGGAAATTCATTTTGGAAAAAATACCTAATCACATCAAAAAACAAAAACATTTTCGCTTGCATATGATTGGATGGTGGAAGTCAGAAAAATGCTCTGCAAAACTGACAAATCGCACCACGCTTGTTCAGGTGCCATTCATTTCAATGACACCTAAACACAAGTGCGATTCTGCCGAGATTGTCCTATGATAAATTGCAGGATCAGGAGCTTCTTTTGGGAAAACAAGCTTTGCGCGATGTGGTTTACGTGACGTGTAACATTCGCAGCAGAATCTCACCGCGTTTTTTGGTGCCATTGAAAATGAAAGGCATCTGAACAAGCGTGTGTGTGATGTGTCAGTTTTTCAGAGCGTTTTGAGATCGCAGGCAAAGTTACCATACAAAATTGGATATTGGAAGTCAGAAGAATGTTCTGCAAAACTGACAAATCGCACCGAGCTTAGTAAACGTTGTGGAAATTCACTTTGGATAAAATACCCAATCACATCAATAAACAAACATTTTTGCTTGCATACTATGCACTCTGCACTATAGAAGTGTGTGTGGGGCAGGAGATGATGACCAATGGGGGATTCACTACATCAGTACACTCAGTGGGGGGGGATTTACTAAATCTGGAGTAGCTGTGCATAGCAACCAATCAGCTTCTAGCTTCAGATTGTTTAGTTAAGCTTTGACGATGAAAGCTAGAAGCTGATTGATTGCCATGCACAGCTACACTAGATTCTGCCTGCTCAAGTCTTTAAAAAAAAGGCGAACAGGCAGGATTTTTAATGCAGATGAGACAAGGTACAAGGGAAGTTTCACTTTGCAAGAGAATCTTCCGCAGAGCTTAGTAAATATAGTGGAAATTCACTTTGTAAAAATACCCAATCACATCAATAAACAAAAACATTTTCACTTGATATATCATATGATTGGATGATGGAAGTCAGCAGAGCTTCAGCTCATTCACTAAACTCTGGGGAAAATTCCCTTGCAGAGAGGGACTTCCCTTCCAAAGTGAACAGTCTATCTGCCTTTGGAAACTCACCTCCAGTATGTCTCCTCTGCATTAAAAATCCGGCCTGTTTGCCTTATTTCTTAAAGTTCTGCTTTAAGGGCCAATTCACACTACATGCGTTTCAGTTGCTTTTTTTCTGCATCCATAACGGATGTAACGGACATTGATATGGTTGTCAATGTCATAGTTCACATCAGTGCTTGCAGTTCCAGTGCGTTCCGGTTGCAGAAAAAAAGTAAAACATGCTGCATTTTTTCTGCACAGAACTGTAATGCATCAAAAACACACCGGAACGCACATCCCTATTTAAATTTAAAAAAAGAGGGAAAAAATGAAATGGAATATATAAAAAACGCACTGGAACGTATCAAAAATGCACCAGAACACACCAAAAAAGCTTCAAAAACGTGCATGCAGAAACGCATCCAGACTGCGTTTCTATAGTGTGAACCGGTCCTAAGACTGAAGCAGGCAGAATCCAGAGTAGCTGTGCATGGCAACCAATCGGCTTCTAGCTTTCATTGTCAAAGCTTAAGTAAACAATCTGAAGCTTGAAGCTGATTGGTTGCCATGCACAGCTGCTCCAGATTTAGTAAATCCCCCCCACTGAGTGTAGTGAATCCCCCAATGGTCATCATCCCCCTCCAGTGCAGAGTGCTGTCCACCATCCTGATCTTATCCAGCTCTCTCCCCATTTCCTTGCCATTACTTTGCCCTCAGTTTCTTCCCATCAATAGGTGATGTCATGTGTCTGCCTCCCTCCTCTGTCCGTGATTTCCTATGTAGATGATCGCTCATCATGGTGAGAAGGTTATCCTTTTTATAGCCGTTCTGATTCCCAGTAATTGCTTTATATGCAGGTCCGGGTGGAATGTCCTCCCCACCCCCACCGCATTTCCAGTGGCTTTAGGGACAGTCAGTGGCAAGCTGGCTCAGTAGGGGGGGGAGTGGGGGCAGGTGTCAGGGCGGGTTCCAGGGCAAGGGGCGGAGCGGGGAGGTGGAGCTTCGGCGCGGTGAGGTCTTCGGATGATCACTGAGTAGGCGGGGCACGGTGGGAGTAGGCGGGGAGAACACACCCCCTTCCATCCTCTTGTCCCGGGAGCTGCCTCCGTTCTCAGGAGCCGCCAGAGACCGAATGGAGACAGAAGCGCCCCAGCCCGGACTGTCGCCCCCGGACTCTGCGCACGATCCTTGGTAAGGCGCTCCGCTTCCCTCGCCGGCCATGTGCCGCCTTCCCTCCATGTTCTTTTATGTCAGGGTGGGCTTCACAAGGGCATCAGATGGGGAGGTACCTGAGCACAGCCTCCGTGCAAGTTTAAAGGGGGGCCTGGCCGTGTGTAGGTGCACACTGGGAACCCGGGGGTCGGTGGTGGGAGGAGGGGAGGGATGGAGAGTTCCAGGTCACTGGAGTCCCCCCATGGTGAACTTTACCTGACCGATCGCGAGAAGACACTGTGCCTTTGTCACCATCGTGTCCCCTGGACCACTTTCTGAGGGGGCGGGGGCCCCCTTCTTACCGGATCCTCCATGGGCTGCCGGGGCTGGATCAGGGTCTGATTAAATGAGCTCGGTGTCCAACCACACCAATCTGAGATTTTAGATTCCATGTGCTGGAAATAACAGTCCTACACATGATAGGATCTCCACTATGGAGCCTCAACCAGGGATCACAGTCATCACCAAATCTGCCATCTCTAATAAATCATGGGGATCACCTCAACTCCAAACTTTCTGCACCCCTAATGGTCCCATACACCTTATCCCCACACCTCACAATCAAGGGTTACAATCTGGCTGTACAATTACCAAATCGATTTCATAGAAGGACCTACCTCAACCATCCAATCAATTTATAAGCAATTAGGCAGGCTTTTGTACTGCATAGTTGTTGGTAGGTCTAAAGGAGGTAGGTCTAAAGGTGGTAGGTCTAAAGGAGGTAGATCTAAAGGAGGTAGGTCGAAATGTGGTAGGTTGAAAGGTGGTAGGTCTAAAGAAGGTAGGTCTAAAGGATGTAGGTCTAAAGGTGGGTCTAAAGAACATCGTACGATTAGCTTGTGAGCTTAAGATCCAAGTTAGGCTGGCCATTCACTATACAAGCCATGTGCAATTTTCTTTAGAGGTTCCACAACTATATAATTGGAGGACAAACCTAAAATAATTCATACAGTTAGTATCCAATCAGGTTAGACCTTGTACTTCATAGATGTTGGTAGGTTTGAAGGACACCATACAGTTAGATTATGAGCTTAAATGCTGAGTTAGGCTGGCCATTCACTGTACAAGCTCTGTACAATTTTCTTTAGGGGTCCCAAAACTATATAATTGGAGGACAATCCTAAAATAATTCATTCAGTTAGTATCCAGACAGGTAGGATCTTGTACTTCAGAGATGTTGGTAGCTATGAAGGACACCATACAGTCAGATTATGAGCTTAATATCCAAGTTAGGCTGGCCATTCACTATAAAAGCTCTGTACAATTTTCTTTAGAGGTTCCAAAACTATATAATTGGAGGACAAATCAAAAATAATTCATACATTTAGTATCCAATCAGGTAGGATCTTCTACTTTATAGTTGTTGGTAGGTATGAAGGACACCATACAGTCTGATTATGAGCTTAATTGCTGAGTTAGGTTGGCCATTCACCATACAAGCTCTATACCATTTTCTTTAGAGGTTCCAAAAAACTATATAATTGAAGGACAAACTTGAAATAATGAATTTAGTTATCCAGTCAGGTAGGATCTTGTACTTCATAGTTGTTGGTAGGTCTAAAGAACATTATACAATCAGATTATGAGTTTAGGATCCAAGTTAGGCTGGCCATTCACTATACAAGCTCGGTACCATTTTCTTTAGAGGTTCCAAAACTATATAATCAGAGGACAAACCTAAAATAATTCATTCAGTTAGTATCCAATCTGGTTAGACCTTGTACTTTATAGTTGTTGGTAGGTATGAAGGACACCATACAATCAGATTGTGAGCTTAATATCCAAGTTAGGCTGGCCATTCACTATGCAGGCTCTCTACAATTTTTTTACAAAGTTACCAAAACTATTTCATCGGAGGACAAACCTAAAACAATCCATTTTGTTAGTATCCAATCACGTAGGATCCTGAACTATACAGCTGATGGTAGATCTAAAGGAGATTGTACAATTAGATTATGTAGTGTATGATTAGTATTTATATATATATGATGGTGTGGGGCTCTTATTAAGTTACTTGGTGGCTCAGTGACAACAATATATTATTATCCATTATTTTCCTGCTTTTTCTGGTGCTGTACTTGTATTAGATGATTGGGTTCATCATATAACACACATCTGGTTGCCTGTCGTAATCATCTCAGCCCTCGCTTTTAATATCAATACTTTTACGTAGAAAAATGCATGAGTTGGATGGGGGTGACAATTTAAAAAAAAAAAATCTTTAATCTCACCCCACACATTGTAATCTGTAGATCTACCAACAACTATGTAGCGTAAGAGCCTGCCTGATTGGTCACAAATTGACTGGATAGATGAGATTGGTCCTCATATCGCATAGTGTTGGGAAATCTAAAGTTGATTGTACAGAGATTGTAGATCAGCCTTTCTCAACCTTTTTCAATGCAGAGGAACCCTTGACATAACTTTCCTATCTCAGGGAACCCCTACTAAAAATGACTATATCTACAACTCATGATACATTAGTGTTATGGTCAGCGGGAAGAATGCTCCTTATACTTGTGGTCATTGGGAAGAATACCCCCCTTACAGATTGCTAAAAAGATCAATGGTGTCAGTGGGGACTTATCTGAGAGGCAGAAACTGCTGATTGCTCAAGGAACCCCTAGCGACCTATAGAGGAACCCTGGTTGAGAAACCCTGCTGTAGATGATGACCCTTACACATCTTTCAGAGTTTTGCCTTCATTTAAAGTGTCTTTGCTGAATTCACCTTCCACATTAGTTGGATGACATTGCAGTGACAGTGGACTGAAATGGCATATATCTTAGAAATATAAATTGCCTTGACATTTGATATACACATGGTAGATCTATTTTCTATATATCTTGGAAAATTGGTATTGAATTTGATGAAGGCCGTAATAAGCCTATGGCATAGACAAGCCATTGAAGTTCCTTGCTACAACTACATATCAGTCGCTTATTTGATGACCTTCCAGTGTAACTATCTATATATATATATATATATATATATATATATATATATATATATATATATATATATATATATATATTTCTACTGTATGTTTATATAAAAGAGCACGTGGCTTTTGTTTGCCTTTGCTCATTTTTTTCCTATTTTCTTGGCTTTACAGTAAAATGTTCATCGGGGGACTGAGCTGGCAGACTACACAAGGTGAGCGCAATGATTGTATTACAGAAGCATCGTACTCCATTTCCCCATTACGCTCTCCACCCTTTGCTGTCCTCCTCCTTCATCTGTGCATCCTCCATCCGTCTCTTTCTCTCTCCCTTTCCTCCCGCTTGGACATGAAGGGATTGGATTTTCTATTGCATTCTGGGATCTGTCTGCCACGCTTGGTTGTGATAGGCTGCTTCTTATATTTCTAGAGGGCCTGCGGGAGTATTTCAGTCAATTCGGAGACGTGAAGGAGTGTCTTGTTATGAGAGATCCATTGACCAAAAGATCCAGGTGAGGTTTGATACCGCTTACGTTACAATGCATTTTAATTGCGCATTAGATCAGCAGTCTTATTTCATTTGTTTTCTCTTCACCAGGGGATTTGGGTTTGTCACATTCATGGACCAGGCCGGGGTGGATAAAGTTTTGGCACAATCGAGGCACGAACTTGACTCCAAGACGGTATGAAACTCATCTTTTCACTGATCAGCAAGAATCTGTTAGCTGCTGCATGTGAAGGATAAGATTTTGTTTTTAAAGTGCAACCTAAAATGGGTCAGTTGTACGTTTTATTGGATTGTCACGCTATTCAACGCAGTCAATTGTTAAATGATTAATTATTAAAATATTGAAGTTAGGGTTAACTACCGAAAAAAAAAAAAAAAAAAAAAGAGGCCATCCCAATGTTTGGCGAAAAATCGCAGGGGCATGTGCAAAAAGAAGAGTTTGATCTTTTTAAACAAAGTTTACTTAAAGCGCACGCAGTGCAAGTGTTAGAGGTGAACTACAGCGTTAGAGGCCCTGTGATGTCAACTGCTGTAGATAATGCCGACTTGCTGGTGATGTGTTTGAAAAGTAAAGTATCTTTTTTATTTAGCAGGCAAGCAATTTAGACAGCATGTGGGGGAAAGCAGGTATGATACTGTGTTGTATAGGTTTTGTCATTCCCATTAGTGATGCCACACTTTAGTTTACTAAACAGAATCTAGATAGACTGCTGTGTTGATTACTGGAGACCAGATGTTAGAAGGTCGTCAGTTTGTACAAATGCTTTTTTTTTTTGTCACATATCCATTAATGTCTGTTAGCTTTTTAGTTATTTATTCTATCATTTTTCCTCCTAAGATTTGTATGTTTGTGTGTTTGCCTTATGATTTTTTTTTTTTTTTTAAATGACACAAAATTATTTGTTTATTAAAAGTGACTTCTGGTAGTTTGTGATATTTTTGCCGATTAGTATCTGTGCGTTCTCTTTTATATAAAACATAAGAAAATCTAGATCAGCAACAGGTATAGACAAGAGACATAACTTTTTGTTACACCATTGAACTCTCCATGAGAATACCTCATTTATGGTTGAATTAATTATTTATTCAGCAATGTGTTGGGTTCACTGGTATATTCATATCCTTTGGAGACAGATATCACCATTCTTGCATTTGTAAACTACATTGCCCATGATACTTAGCGCTTGCCTTCTGGACAGCCTAAAATCAGTTTGCCTTTAAATAAGTGGGTCATCAAAAGGTCTGAATAGTAAATGCGCATATTTTTTTGCATCGTTTTATATGGTTGGATTTGGTGATTCCAGTATGGCAAATGAAGCTCATATATTGTGTGCAAATTGTTACTGCTGAAAACATTGATCAGGGCTTACCTTGTTAGGGGCTTATTGTTTAATTTCATGAGTAAGTTGAATTAAGACATATAAACAAAATATAGCAAACAGATAAGTTAACTGATAATCACATACAAGTACTACACAGGTAGGTTTGTATGTTGTTTTTTTTTAAAATAAAACCACTTTGATTTAGCCAATAGAGCAGGGCTTTTATTCACCAGTGATAGTACAAGTATTATATAAAGTGATGACTCCTAATATAATAAAAGAGCAAAAGAAAGAGGAGGTGACTCCTATAGCATCCTGTCATTCTTCAGCTGTCATTTTGCTAGCTTCTGATTGGTTGCTTGGGGTAACAGCTCAGTGTGTCCTTTGCTTTTGTTTAATAAGTCAGTCCTTGTAAGGGTTGAATGAGTGTCAGGAAGAAAATGAAGGAAATTACATGTTACAGGATTTTTTTCTTGGAAGCCAAGGTTTAGACCTCCTGATTGATATTACAAATAGAGACAACATCTGTCTTAAGGTAAACAACTGTCAGTGTTACAAATAACTACATTAAACTGTCAACGTTTATGTCAAATCCAGTTTGTTTCAAACTGGGAGGCCAGTTTGTGCAAAACATTTTCAGGTGTCAGGATTAGCTTTCGTCGGGTTGTCATCAGGCTTAGTCCTATTCCCTTGAGGCTTTACAGTATCCTCATGGTGAGAAAGAATATTGTGTACATGAGTATGTAATACCTATCTGTGTGTTACACTTCATGTACAGGTGATGTGACCTTTTTGCAGCAAGTGTTCCTTCTCATCTGCCAATCAATCACTTAAGCACTTTACAGAATCACATGATCGCTTTACCAGTTCACACGTTTTGTTATTTATTTTGATATTTAAAGAACCTGTAGCACTAATCTGTAAATCACAGGTTACAATCTGTACCATCTGCTTTAGATCTACCAAAAACTGCAAGGGCCTGCCTGGTTGGATACAGATTGATTGGGTAGATTGACCATACATTGTATAATCTCCCTTAGATCTACCATAAACAGTGTAGTGTTTGATTTAAAATGGAACGAAAAGTAAAAAATACTGACCTATGTCCCAACGGTCCGATGCCAGTAAGGTTCCCTGCCAGCAGGGGCATCCTTTTCCCGCCCTTTTCTGGGTGCTGGTGCAGGATGATGTCACTCACACGCATGCGTGGATGTCACTCATCCAAGCACACTAGGACAGTGCTGGAAATGTAAAACGAGCTGCGCATGCGTAGTCCAGTTTACAATCTGCAGGAGATTGCACACAAGCAGGTGAATTTTTTTTTGTATTGCAGAAGAGACAGTGGGTTTGATTTACTTACCCTGGGTTCACACCTAAGCATTTTCCGCAGCGGTTTGCAGAAACGCAGTACAGTCCATTTAACATGATTTCCAATGGGTCATGTTCACATCTCTGCATTTTCAACCGGTGCATTTTTTGGAAAGTTGAATTTTTGGTTCTATAGACTTCAATGGAAATGCTGCAGAAAAGCATGTAGTGCGTTTTTGATGCATTTTTGATGAGCTTTTGTGTTTTAAAATCTGCCTAGCAACAAGAAAAATACAAAAAATTAAAAGAAAAACAAAATGCAGGTGCAAAAAAACGCAATTCAGCTCAAAAACGGCTTAGGTGTGAACCTAGCGTAAAACTGGAGTGCAAAATCTAGAGCAGCCATGCATGGTAGCCAATCAGCTTCTAACGTCAGTTTGTTCATTAAGCTTTGACAATAAAACCTGGAAGCTGATTGGTTTCTATGCAGACCTGCACTCTCCAGTTTTAGTAAATCAACCCCATTGCATATCTGTTCTGCCTGTTCACATTTTTCAACTTTAATTCCAATACTAATTGAAATGATTGTTTAGGTTTGTCCTATTTTTGGTAAATGTAAAGGAGATTGTACAATCAGATTGTAAAGTGTATGGTCAGCTATAGATAAGGTAGGTGCTCATATTACAAATTGATTTTACAAAGAATGTATGGTCGGATTGTAATTTGTAAGGTGACCCTAGATCTCTAAAGTAATCTAAAGGAGAATAGGAAAATCACACATTTTTTTATTGTAAGTGTGAGCTGATCAGCACTGATTTTCCTTTAAAAAGCAAAGTGCTTGCGTTGAGCTGAGTGCAGCGCGTCCCAGTCGGTGGGCTCTTGTTTATCAGTGTAAGCTGCTGGGCTCTGGGGACGGTGTCTCTGCAGACACAGGGGGAGGGGAGCAGTGCTGCACATGCTGCTGTCCCCTGCTCCTCGGATGGGAAGTTTCTTTTGTTGCCTGGGAGGGGACAAGTGTGTGTTTCATACAAAGAACAGTTGAAAGCAGAAGGGATCCGCTGTGGAGTCTTCATTATAATTTAACTGTGGATGGAGAGGATAGAAGGTTATGTTAATAGATCTCAGGGAGTTTGAGGGATCTTTGTTTGAAATGAACATGAGTTGCTCTCAGCGATTGTTTCATATACACTTCTTGGTCAATAAATTGTTTGGATCGCAAATGGCGAATTTGCTGCTAGAGTAAAGTGTTGATTAAGTTGTACAAGCTTTCTTAGTTCAAAGACTACATGTGCTGTTATATTCTTTTTTAGTAAAGTTGGTAGCCAGTTCTATCAACAGATCATTGATAAAGGTAGATTATTTTTAAAAAGTATCAGAAACATCTGTAAGTACTGGTATCAAATAGAACAATAGGACAAGTACAGCATCACTTCCTTTTCTACTGTGTAACTATTATGACCGCTATCTACAAATGATTCAATGGTGGATGACAAAAAGATGCTTAACCTAAAGTCCCTGCCAAGGCCACAATTTGAAGTTGGAGGTATAACTTGAAATCTAATAGAGGGTTCTTTACGCTTAGAGCAGTAAAAGTGTGGGTAGAAAACTCCCTTCCCCAGATAGTGGTATCAGCTAGGAGTGTTGACACATTCAAAAAACTTTGTGAAATCCTAATGAGCACAATATACAGGGGTATGGATAATGAGCACAGTATACAGGGGTATGGATAATGAGCACAGTGTACAGGGGTATGGATAATATACAGGGGTATGGATAATGAGCACAGTATACAGGGGTATGGATAATGAGCACAGTATACAGGGGTATGGATAATATACAGGGATATGATAATGAGCACAGTGTACAGGGGTATGGATAATAATATACAGGGGGTATAGATAATGAGCACAGTATACAGGGGTATGGATAATATACAGGGGTATGGATAATGAGCACAGTATACAGGGGTATGGATAATATACAGGGGTATGGATAATGAGCACAGTATACAGGGGTATGGATAATATACAGGGGTATGGATAATGAGCACAGTGTACAGGGGTATGGATAATATACAGGGGTATAGATAATGAGCACAGTATACAGGGGTATGGATAATATACAGGGGTATGGATAATGAGCACAGTATACAGGGGTATGGATAATATACAGGGGTATAGATAATGAGCACAGTATACAGGGGTATGGATAATGAGCACAGTATACAGGGGTATGGATAATATACAGGGGTATGGATAAAGAGCACAATATTCAGGAGTATGGATAAAGAGCACAATATTCAGGGGTATGGATAAGGAGCAAACAATTCAGGGGTATGGATAATGAACGCAATATACAGGGGTATGGATAAAGAGCACAGTATGCAGGGGTATGGATAAAGAGCACAATATTCAGGGGTATGGATAAAGAGCACAATATGAGCACAGTATACAGGGGTATGGATAATGAGCACAGTATACAGGGGTAATGGATAAGGGGTATGGATAATGAGCACAGTATACAGGGGTATGGATAATGAGCACAG